TTCAACTCCCAGAATTCTGGGAGTTGAAGTCCACTCATCTTAAAGTGGCCAAGTTTGGACAACACTGACCTATGGGAAGCCTGCTGGGGATTAATACATTCCATGAATTCAGTCACTGTTGTGATCACTTGTAAATGCTGTGAACAGGCAAAGCACAACGAAATGTGTTATCTAAGATCAGGGGTTTGCAAACTTTTTGGGGCAGCAGAACCTGTTTTTTAAAAAATAATGGAATCCACGATCAAGAGGCAAACTTCTAGTGGTAGAAAATTGGTTGTGTTTGGGTGATTTTGTTGCCATTCATTTGTTCACCCCGAGTCATCTATGGAACCCCATAAAGTTCTTGTGGAACACTAGGTTTCCAAAAACTGAAGCACCTTAGGTAAATGTTTTGTTTTGTTTTTAAGTTTGCTGTTTGTTATTCATATTTCTACAATGCTAGACCGAACCTAAATACTTTAAATAATCTAGGGATACTAGAGGTAATGTTTTCCTTTTCCTCCTTCCACAATACCTTCTCAGTATAAAGTGCATTTTGTAACTAAAGATTGATCCACATTATTGATATGGTTCAGTGTACCATAATCCACACCAACCACTGTCACAAAAATCCCAAGTGTTTTGGAATCTGCTGTGGTCATAAGTATTGCATCTATATGTAAAAGAGATCTACCTGGATGTCACTCTTTTTTACATGTCAGCTTATAAATTCATGTATATTTGGGGTTCCTTAATCTGCCTAAAATGCAGTGAAAAAAGTAAAAAGCTGGAGGTCTTACACTCCCTTCATCAAAAGTTCTCTGGATCTATCTCCTGCCTTGATGTGGGACTTGGTAGCTACTGCTGCTACCACCACCTATTTTTCAGGAAAATGCTTTTATGTAGCATCCTCCTCTACAACCCCAGTATGTGAGAGAAGAGGGCTTCTCCATTCTGAATTCCTTACTGGCAAATGAAAGAGAAATAAGTGATAAAGGGGAAATTAATTTTACAGCACCACCTTCTGGCCCTGTAGCACTGATGTGTATGGCTAGGAAAATTGGTCCGTCCTCCCCCTGCGCTTAATAGGTAGGTAGACCAATCTCACAAGGGATAAATAAATCAAACTTTACTGTAAAAGAAAGAAAAAAAAAGGTTTGTATAAAGCATACAAGGACTGAGCTTATGGAGAGAGAATAATAATCAGAAAAAATATAATAGACTTAAACACACATAATGTTAAAATAAAATGTAATTGTGTGGTATATTTATAGCTAAACGTATTATCTGTTCCTTAGGATGACCTCATGCCTGAAGCTAACTCCTCGTGTTTGCTTCCGTCGATGTTTTTTCCAACTTTTAAAATAGTTTTTCCTTTTTATCAGAGGTCTTCTAGATTCCGTTCCTCTTTTCAGCCGCAGCACACTGCTTCTTGCTCATTTTCACCTGCAGTCTTTTCAAGGACCATACCTTTTCCTCTCTAGTAGAAAGCAAGTGGGTTGGGTAGTCTAACTTGGTACATGACCCAAGCCATATAACTGTCCCATGTACAGATGCCAATTGGGAACTCTGCCTGAGAGGATGTATTTTAGGAATCTGCATCTGCAGGGGGGGGGGGGTGTCAAAAAAGTTAAGATGACAGGTAAGAGCATGTGACTGAAGAGTTGCCCCTTTGTACTTATGCCTGATGTTAAATCAGTGCACATACAAAAAGTGCAGGGCTTTGACTGTGGGTTCATGACCGTCATTGTTACTATTTTTGAACCACCCTATGGCCACCCCAATAGGGAATGTCTTCAGTTCTGCTGCCTTGTAAGGGTCCACCAGTCAGAACTTACTGTTCTCAGTTTGTTACCTCATTGTTATTCCCATTTGTGCTGAAATTACCCCCTTTACACTTAAGTTGGCTGTGAACTTTGTACATCATACTTTTTAAATCCTGCGCATTCAGATACTGACACTTCTATTTGCTATAACAAAAAAAAGCCATCAGTTCAAAGAAAAAGCTTGAAAGGTATAGTTAAGGTGGTGATAAGCAGTCACCTGTACATAACCTTCTTTCCCCTTTTTGAAAGATATTTGATGGTTTTGTATTTCTAGATCTAATTAGAAAATAACAATTTGCCTTTAAAATGATACATTACAAAAAGCATTTGATTATCTCTTAACCACATGATATCTATTGTTGCTTTTAGCCTTTTACAATGGCTTTAGAAGTTGACCTTTTCACATGCTGAAAGATGCACAGAATTGTATCTGCCAGGAATGAATGACAGCTGACTTTAGCAAAACCTTTGCAATGGACACCACTCAAGGCTCAGTTGTATGACTTCTGACAATTAATTTCTTTGTGTTTGGAGTGTAGTGCAGCAGTGTGATGCTTAAAAGTAGCTAACAGCCTTGTCAGTTTTTTCATGCATTGTGAACTATGAACCTTTTGCTATTAGAATAACCACAAATAGACCTGTAATAACTATTTATTATAGATATGTTTACCCCACAAATCAGAGTTCTAAAGTACAGATCCTTCTTGTACTTAGGTTTTATCTTTAAGATAGTAAAGCAGGGTACAAAGGTGCTTAAGAAACGCTGACATGAATTCTGGTGGTGTCCCAACTTTTAAAAATCTGAAGTGATTTACTTGCTGATTTATTTGATTCAGACCTCTAGAAGATTTAGAGATGGAAGCAAAACAATCACTGTGACGCAGATAAATAGTTGTGTGTTCATAGTGTAGATAACTTCCATAGTCTCAATCCAAAGAGAGGAACTGCACTTAAAGTGACATTTATAGATAATATTCAGCACAGAGAAGAGCCACACCATTTGCTTTTGCAGGATTTAATACATTTACAGAATTATATGAATTCTGAACTAAGAACAAGCATGTCATAATCACTGCTATAATACTGCACTTACCCTGAGGAGACATGGATTCATTAATGTGTTCTAAGATGTAAGGCTCACTGGGTCACTCAGTTTGTTTAGCTTGCTGTAACAAGCGTTAATACAGTATCTTGCATCATGATCTGGCATTGAGATTTATCATCTGGAGCCAGAAATATATTAGGGGAGAGGCCATAAATCACAATAATCATACTTTAAACTTAGTTACCTAGTATCAGGCATGACAGAGCATGTTATATGAACCAAGATTAACAGTTCTCTTATAATTAAGCAGGCATTAATCCTCTAAGAAAACAAAGCTCATGGTAGCCAGAGGTGTGCAGGAACATCTGCCAGCAGAGCTGTTCCCACTGCTTCATATCTGGTTTTGTTTTTTCACCCCCAAAGGTACAGGGTAGAAAAGTCCCCTTATCCCCTGGACCATGCCTCTGATCCCAAGTGGCCACCAGAAGTTTTATTCTGTGGTCTACAAAAACAACCCCTTACAGTCTTTCAAGCAAAGCCAGTCTCTCCCTGCACAAGAATTACTGGGATTGTGGTTTAAAAGGAGGAGGGGTTCACAGTTGAAAGGGAACCATGGTTTGCCATTTCATTCCACAGTTCATTTGTTGAACAAGTGCCTTAACTGTAGTTAAGGCTAAGCCTGAGTTACTGTGTCATGTGATGGTCTCAATACTTAAATTCAGTTATACTTGTTGATATATTTGTAAGTCATTATTCTTATTGTCTTTGGAGAAGGAAGTAAGGCTCATGTGTTTATTGTCTCTTACAACCCAATTTTCTGGATTCACACAAGATATTGGATTATAAACTAATCACATGAACAGGGTTTCTTCAACACGCTAGGCTGAAATGTTTTCTTAGTTTGTAGTTCAATATGTTCTGCGAACAAAGCAATTGGGTTGTTACCAGAGGTGGTTAAAAAAAAAAAGTCCATGGCTGACAGGTTTAAAATCAAAAAAGTATGAACAACAATTAACACTCTTTATTTCCCATATTTTACCTTCATGTGGAATTAATAATTTAAATTATATAGTCTAGATGCAGTGAAATATTTTAAAATACAATGATAGTGATAAAAGGGATATCAGAGTGAGATTGAAATAACATATTAAGACTTTTTAGTTGAATAATTGTTCAGAAAAACCTTAGGTTTAAAAGCAACTTGTTCTTGAATTTATAGACCAAATAAGTCTTATCAGATCTGAATGGGTATGTATCTAGGTTTCAGGCAAAATCAAAAGATTGATAAAATCCGTTCTTAGACATTTTGACGATGAGAAGTAATTATGGATTAAGATAATTCCTTGGAACAACATTTATTAGTAATTATCTGGGATAAATAGATGTTGAATGTGGAGGAGAGCCACATTGGTGACAATTGTATAATTCCTGTATGTTTTCATCTATCATATAGGAAATAGGCACATTCCATGTTCTGCATATATTCTGAAACCTATGTACATTCTGTATAGGTGGCATTCAACATATTATGTAATATTGTTATGTAAATTGGTCTTCACCAACCTGGTGCTCCCCTAATATACTGTATTTCAATTTTTATAATTACCTATTCAGAACAGGCAATAGTAATGGGAAAGGTTAATATAAGTAAATAAATCTACTTTGCATCTTCTAAAGGGAAGGACTTTTTAAAATCTGCAGTTTGGAAAAGTAGCGAAGTATGATTATCTTTCAGGTTTTCTATAGATCTTTCATGTTACAGTACTCCTTTTTAAATTTATATTTTATAGATATGTAATAGAAGGATCAACTTTAGGTTCTGCTGATGTTCTGTGCCTATAACACAAAACATAGCTAAAATTCCATCCTCTCAGTAAGAAATGGCTGTTGTACCGTGCTGTTACTTTTATCAAAACTGCTTATTTTACTACCAATTCTTGTTTTTTTCCCCACAGAGAAAAGTAAAGGAAAACATCGGGTAAGTGTTTATGCTGAAAAATGTGGAAGTTTTGTTCTTGGCAGGTTCCTACTCTTTTTCTTCTTCCTCCTAAGAACACATCATTTGCACTCTGTACTCTCTGTCAGGTTTAGCTACCTGTTGCTTTGTAGTGCAAAATCCAATGTTGATTTTGGTCTTGGTCTGTAAGGTTATGCCATCCTAACCTCTGTATCCTTTGAATATAGCCTTTACATATTTATTGCCTGATTTTAGTAGCATTTTACAAAGCAAAACAGAGAGATGACATTAACCTGTTACAAATCTTTTTCTCATTGAGCTATTATGGTACACGTTTGGATTTTAATTTAATCTAGCAAAAATTCTATTTTCTAATCAGAGTATAGTCCAGAGATGAGCTAGGGGTTATTGGGTTTTTTAATGGTCTTAGTGGATTTATCTAATGAATTTGACTGTAACCTCAAGCATTAGTACAGTACTTAGCCATCCTATCAGAGGCTGGACATCACCATATATTATATTCCAGTAGCCACAAAGCACCATCCCCTCGTTCCTACTTTGTGCAATCCCTCCATTTTAATTTGTAGAGCACTTACAGAGTGATGTCACATTAGTGGCTCTTGAATCTTTGCTATCTCTAGGTAACTTGGAAAGGCCCACTGTAATGGGAGGGGGGAAAATAGTATAGGTATTCTGTAGTTTCAGTACTTTTTCTTCTTTGAAGGATGCTAGATTGTGAGAGAACAGTTCTGTAACTTTTTGAACATTACAGTTAATTTTGTTGTTGTTTTTGTCTTACCACAGTTTGGTTGCTTTGGCTACCCACTTAGCATCTTTTTTATAGTCATCAATGAATTCTGTGAAAGATTCTCCTACTATGGAATGCGAGGTGATTTTAAAAATTCATACTCTAGTTTGATCCTTATTGATGCAGCTGCTGAGTGATTTTCTCATTAATCACTCTTGTTATTTTCTTTTTTCTTTTTTTAGCTGTGCTTGTCATCTATTTCAAGTTTTTTCTCAGCTGGGATGATAATCTCTCTACAGCCATTTACCATACATTCGTTGCTCTCTGCTATCTAACACCTATCCTTGGAGCACTCATAGCTGACTCCTGGCTGGGGAAGTTCAAGTGAGTGTATGTCAGTGGGAAAGCACAGTTAGGAGATTCAAACTCCTTCACTGGGGCATTTGAAGGTGGGGATAATTTCCTTAATTCTGAATCAAATCAAATCAATGCACCTTACACTCATTAACCAATATATAGTTCAGGATCTTATATGAAGACCAGAAGCTTTGCTTTAATAAAGAGATGCATATTTTTTTTAAGGCAGAATGTGTGCTTGGTACACTCCAATAAGTAGGTAGTGGCAGGCCTAAAGGGAGAAAAATTGTTTGATTTATTTAACTTAAAATAACCAATTAAATATAGCTATCATTCTGCTTCTGTCTTATTAAAATTACAATTCAGTGTTTTGATAAGTTCAGGGGCCATACCCAATGCTTGTAGGGCCCCTGGGTTTGCACACTTATAAAGGAAATACATTTTGCTGCAATTTTTCTATTCCTACACAGTAAAGTCTATCATTTTCCTCTCATAAAGATTATGGCAACATAGTTTTCTGGATTCTAAGGGGAAAAGATGACTTAGACCATGTACAAGTTCATACTTAGCTCCTCTCACCAACTCTTAAGTCAAACACAACTTTTCCCAGGATTGTACTGCCCCTGCAGAGGGCAGTTGCATGAACCAGGAGAAGGCACAGGTGTTACAAGGACTTGCAGACAGGTGCAACGTGCATGCCCCCTTCAAATCCCAGATCCTGCTGCCCTAATAAAGATGCAGTGATTGAGGAATACCTACTGAATGACTTCCACTTTTGCTTCTATGAAAGCCATTGGTTGTTCATGTGCCATCAAATCAGTATCGACTGTTAGATACCACATAGATAGGTTTTTCTATGACAATCAGTGCTTAACCCAGAGGAAAAAAATTACAATGACTAGGAAATATGTAATATTTATATATTCTCCAGAAATTTAAATTCCAGCTCATATTTTGTTTTACTTATGAAATTCAGCTAGGCTACCTTTTTTTAAAAAAAGTTTTGTTAAAAAATTACAAAATTATGTTAGAGATAATTTGCACGTAAGATCTTATTAATTATTATAATGAGTATCGAGCAGGTTAACCACATCAATTAAAGAGATGTTCAGATTTCATGTTGCCAGTTGCTGTTTGGTTCTATTTTCTATCTGGGTGTAACCTGGAAGTTATTCCCTACTTTGTTGTGCTAGGAATACTGGTTTCATGGGAGATCAGAGACAACATGTCTGATATCTCATGTTCTTATGACTGCAACAATGAAGAACTCTACAAGAAAACTATCATTTGATTTCCCTGATCTGTTTTCCAGTGTGGCTACCGACAGTATGATCAGGAAGGGTTCAAATCAATCAGTTTATTACAGTCATAGACCAGTACAACTAAAAATGCACATAACATGTCTACTTAAAAATCTTAGATATAATAATATCAAGTAAAATCTATATCATAATTATAATTTGGCCTAAATGTCATTTATACATGAAGTCAACCGGCCTATCCTATAGTGTAATTATTACTCCTTAAATTATGATATCCTACAATTACTGATCGTTAGCTAAAATAAGGTGATGATAAAATGATAATATCTAAAATTGATCAGGAAGGGTTAACATTCATTGATGGAGGAAGCAGAGTTATTTTATTTATAAAAGGGCCCAACTGAACTCACCAATTTAGAATCTTTGCTGCCTGTTCCTAATCAAACATACAGAGGCTGAACTAGATGAGCCAATGATCTCATTTTATGTAAATTCCATGTTTCTACTTTTATAAAGTGTTTTATCAAGATTTTATAAATCATGTACAAAACAAATACAATAAAGACTTTTGACTTCTGTTGACATAGTTATTTTAAATGCCAGATATACATGATAGTAATACTCTCTTAAAAGTGGGTTTACTATGTAACACCCCAGAAATGTTTTTTACAGATGATTGCCAAGTACAACAGATATAACTAGAGAACAGAATATAGGGTTTTTCACAAGTTTTCTTCATTGCCAGTATTCAGACATGGGGTTTAGCCCACATTTATATGAACGTTAAATACAGTAATGTGTGCATGCATACTCTGTGTGTGTGTGTGTGCGTGCATTGTGCAAATAGGATTAATTTCAATGGGATACAGTTTCAATTGGTTTACTTTGCTTATTTTTCTAGAATTAGAATTTAATTTGGAAGGCAACTGCAAACCATATATTACTGCCAAGAAAACTATATAGACATGTCTCTAGAGTCCCCAGAAGCTGTATCCTATTTGAGAGTCTTTACCATTTTGTTAATTTTTCACTCCATTATCCATATTTTACATCTTCCCCTAAGAGACTCTTAATACTGACAACCCAAATAGAAGAACCATCAAATACTGAATAGTATTCAGTGATATTTACATATGTGCAATTGAGTATGCTCATTTTTTATTATTACACACCGTTTAACTGAGTGGACCAATGTCACATTCTCGTATTCAAAAAAAAAGAGAGACCTATGTCATTAAAAATACATCTTCTGTTTCTGTCCTTCATTGCAGAACCATTATTTCCTTGTCCATTGTGTACACAGTTGGGCAAGCTGTCTTGTCGATAAGTTCCATAAATGACTTGATGGATGGTAATCGAGATGGTGTTCCAGATGACACTAAAGTTCCCGTGTAAGTTGCAGCACTTATCTTTATCTTCCACATGAATGCATATTGGGACCTATTAGGCATTCAATGTACCACAAATCTGTTTATTGTGAGCTTAATTATTGTAGCCTTGGTTCCTCCCTTTGCATCATCCTATGACCCCTATCATGTGGCAAAGTCCAAGGACCTTTTTTCTGATGTAGCAACAGAATCACAAATCTGCTTTTATAGACAAAGTGCTATCATTACTGTATTTTGATTGTGCTGTGAAAACCATCTGCAAGAGTTCATTTGGTTTTCAAAATGGAAACTTTGTAATCTTACACTATCAATTTATAGAAAAAATTATTAATTTTATAGCACATGGCTAAAGATTAATTGCCAGATACATGCTAATTTTTTAAATTCTTGCCCTTCTAAGGTACTATGTAAGAAATAATATTCCCTCTGCCCATTATTAATGGCTAAATTAGATGCTTGTCCCTTATAAAATTAAACTTTCAATATTATATTTTATAATATTAATAGACATGCACAGGGGACAGGAAAATTGTGTGGTTCACAGAAACAGCATTGAAGAATTTTGTAGGAACATCTTATATGTTTACAGATTATCCTAGAAAAATTTTGCATACTGTATTCAAGAATAGTTTTATAATACTGCATTGCTTTTAACCTTTGCCTAGCAGCATGTATGTCAGCTTTCATTCTTAATCTGTAATCTTATTTATGTCTTCATTATTTTCCTAATGACAATAAAATCTCTGCATATTTATTATACAAATGCTTGTATAATAAATACAAGTATTTGTATAATAATAAATGCTTGGGCAGGGGTTCTCTTTATATTCTGGCAGGCATACAAGTATCAGTTTAGTGAGCTCATCTTTAATATTTATTATTGTAATGGTTGGTTTTGACTTTGTGGGCCATTTACATAAAACCTGGATCTGAGATGTATCACAATGATCACCATTATGACAATTACACAGGAGTAAATCTATACCATACTAAAAATATGCTTCGGATAGGGTGTTGGCCAACATGTATTTGTTTCATGTTTTTTTTTTTTTTAATTTAACTCTAGTTCCTATCTTCACAGTGGTCATCTTCAGGATGACTAGATGTACTTTGTGCTGTGATCCCTGTAGGATTTTCAGAGATCCTGTTATGTGCCTCAGCTGTTTGCTCATGTAGCCCATTAGCAAGTACATAATGCTCAAAGTAAAATGTAGACAGAAAAATATATGTAAAAGAACCAGGGTACGTTTACCTCATTTGCCTACTATGGTTAATCTACTTCTGTTGTTGCAGAGCTTTGTCTATGATTGGTTTGGCCCTTATTGCTCTGGGAACTGGTGGGATCAAACCATGTGTATCAGCATTTGGTGGAGATCAGTTTGAGGAAGACCAGGTATCAATTTTATTTACTTACTTACAAAGATTGTAAACTGTCATGCTTTAGTTTGATTCTTGGTGGTATGACAGTACTGTCGCTGTATTGTCAATTAAGGAAATAGAAGGTCCAGAGGTGGAGCCATACATGGATTTGACTTGATTTTTTTGGTGGGGCACTATAGAGATTTCTGACATTTTATTTACAATATGCAGCTTGAGGATCAATGGAAGTACAGCAGATCTACATAATATTTCAGGATTCACACCAACTCCTACCTAGAATACTTCAAGAGCTTGTCCTCTGCCCAGATCTCCCCCCAAATGCAACTTTTATTTTTCCACTATTGCATCTTTGCAGCAGCTGCAATGTTTAACTGTAATTTTCTTAGTCAAAGTTATACCTGCCAATTTTTCCACTGAGGTACATATATAGTCATTTTGGTCCCATTAACCCTCTGCTTATTTCCATGTACTAAAAAATAAACATTATGTTACAAAACTTCTTTTAAAAAATATAGTGATTTTGCAAAAACATGCTTATTTATAGAAACCCTGCATTTTTATATTAGAAGAATTTCAAAAACTAATTTATAATAAGGTTCTTCTTCGTGTTTCAGGAAAAACAAAGAAGCAGGTTCTTCTCTATATTTTACCTTTCCATTAATGCTGGAAGCCTTCTTTCTACTATCATCACCCCAATACTTAGAGGTAAATTTTTCTACATCAGACCAATATGTCTGTCTTGATATAGGCATGGGGTTTGCTAAATATGGACACAAATATAAGGGAAGTCATTTAGAGGGACTTGTATTAGTCTGTGTTTGTGATTGAACTAGTATTCTTCTGGCTGGGATTTGCAACTCTATGATCATTTAAATCTTTTGCTATCTACTCCCAAAGCCATTTCTGAAGATCAAGCAGAAGTTGATCTATACTGCTTTCGGAAGTATAAATTCCAGCATGTAAAGTATTGGCAAGTGAAACTAGAGTAGACATAAATAGCCTTTTTTCTCTCCTTACTGTTTCTGACACAGGCCAAATGTCCTTTCTCATTATATAGGACCCTGTTTGGAATCCAAGCCATAGGCTCTAGTAATAGTGAGGACATTGTTAATAGCAACAAATTAAATTGATTTACGTAAGTCAAATACCCTGGCTGTAAAAACTATGGGTGGCTGTATTAATAAGATCAATATAGTCACAATCTAGTATAACAAGAAGTAACTGCACCAAATAATGATAAAATATATTGTTTCTTCAACCTAATCTTACATCTATAAAAGAACTGATCTTTATTCTTTGCATAGAATCTTTATCTTCCATAATCCAAATCTGGAATGGAATTGCTGAGATCAATTGATAGTTGGATTGTGATCTGTTGTCTGTTCTGTAATGGGGTCCACTTGTTTTACTAAGACGTAATGGTTTAATGTTAATTCATACCCTATGGTTTGTACAGTCGTAGCTTATTCAGTGAACCTTTGTGAAAGAAAGCATGGGTCATTGCAATGTGCAAATGCAGTTACTGTAAGAAAAAGTTGGTGGTTGATAGGGATATTATAGTATATATGTCCAGGAAGATCTGCCCAGAGGAAATAAATGAACTGGGAATTATTTTCCCGAAGGCGGGAAGACACAGCAGCAGGGGAAGTGTCCAAGGGGAAGACATGAAAGTCTGCCATTGAGACTGAATACCTTCTCTGCTTGGAGAGGATTTTCTTACACCAGCTTAGTATCAAGACAGCATGAGATAAGACAGTAGAGCAATTGAAGAGTGTGCTATCGATATACCCTAAGTCTAAAATCATTACAAGCTGCCTACAATTCTGAATGGTACTTCAAATGAGACTACCAGATATAAATTTTTGTTCAAATACAATAAGTAATTCAGTTCACTGAATAATTGACAGGAAAGGCCTGTCCTTTCAGACTATTGTCCCAGGAAAGAATCATGTCTATGCCTCCCGCTTATTTCTTTGTACAGGAGTGGAATGTGGAATTCACCACAAACAAAAATGTTATCCTCTGGCATTTGGTGTTCCTGCTGCACTAATGGCTGTTGCACTGTGTAAGTCAGACAATTTACTAGATATATTGCTTTTGAACTTCCATGTTATTTATTTTGTTACAGTGATATAATTGTAATGTGTTGGGGTTCATTATGACAGTTTCCCAGAACATTATTGATCTATTATGGGTTGTGCATGAGAGAGAACCTTCAAAAAAATAGTAGAATGTCAGAAAATACATATATCTTAGATTTAGTAGCAAATTCCCCCTTTCCTTAATTGTTTAATACTAGTTTTTAAAGTGGTTGTAAATTGATTTGCTACCCAAATCCCCTTGTTGACATTTAACTACTTGCTCAAAATTTGCTGTCTTCTGGTTTCTCTCTGCAGTTGTGTTCATAGCTGGAAGTACAATGTACAAGAAAGTTAAACCTCAAGGCAACATCATGGTCCAAGTCACTAAATGCATTACAGTAAGCAATATATAATGCAAGACTAGTATTTTCAAGGGCAACTTATTTTCCTGAACTTGATTTTGAATAAATCTGTATTCAGTGACTTCCCCACTAGTTGTCTCTGGGTTCCTCTCTTTTTTCTGACCTACATAAAAACCCTTTCTAGTTCCTTATCTAGAATTAGAGCAGGCTGGGTTTTAGTTCTAGATTGACTCAATGTTTGCTTGGTGATCAAGAATGTTTTTTTTCCTGATCCTTACCTAAAATGTTCTTCATGTCCTATCTCTGTTCTTCTCTGAAGCCTAACCTCCACTTATGGAGCCAGAGTTGTTGTTACAAACTAGGAAGAGAAATAGTGTAAAACCTTTCTGGCAGACCTCTTCTTCCAAGGGTTCCTTGGTGAAATATAATTATGATATGCTCCAAAGAGGCAGACTAAACCTCCTTATACTCCATAATTTGTCTATGTGAAGAATTCTTGGCTCTTCTGCCAAAGACGTCTCCCTTCAATTCAGCTCTAGGAAAAACTGAAAGGAAGGTAGTTTAAATCTCCCAACCTAAACCCCCTAAAATGCAGAACTTGACAGACCTTGTGCCACGGTCTGAAATCCAAGGAGAAAAGACTCTGCAGTTACACCATGGGTTTCAGAACTGGAACAAAGTTTGTCCCTGCCTTGTTCAACTAATTAAGCCAAATGTCTAGGTACAAAAAGAATTTTGGGAGGGAGTGGGGAAGAGAAATATATGCAGAATTCTTTAAAATGTGTAGGTAGCCTAGTCAAACCAGTTACTTATTACCTGGTTCAATAAGATTTTAACTTTAAGTATTGCATCTGGGCCTACTCCTTGGATATTGTTAGATGACACTCCTTGCTCTTTTCCCCCCTTTTTTGCCTTTTATTGTTTCTTGAGCACTATATTTATCTTTTATGGAAAATAGAGGATAAATTATAGCTAATATCGTTGGGACAGTTCAAGCTAAATACTCCAGCAAATCAGCAACTGTCTATTGGCTGATTTGTTCTTCTTAAAGACATTGTGGGGGAATGGTTAAGGTGCAGACTAGTTATGCCCTTGCACAAAAAAGTTTAATGGGAAAGGTATTTTTGGAAAACAGAAGCCGAATTCCATCTGTTCAGACCTCTTAGCATGGGATGAACGTACCAGCTACTTTGGGGGGACTGCTATACCATACAAGCAGTTTGACACAGTTCCCCAACAAAAAGGAGGTTTTATATTCTGAATAAAGCATCTATTGAGTCCAGACCAGCTTTTAAATAATTGTTTTGCTTCCTTAAATTTACCAGTGTGTTGTGGCTCTAGCTGGAAGTTTTTGTCTCGTTTACATTTGTTTAAAAAAATTAAAAATTAGTCCTCCTCTAGATGACACTCTCTGGCTGACGGGACCTCCCACTGGACCTGTTGGGTGGGTAGATGTAATGTTGAGGGTACAGTGCCCAAATCTACTGTGTGTTCACTACACCACTAAATAACCTTTTGCTTGTGTGTCTGTGCATATACCTGTGCATTTGTGAATGCATGTGCATGGAGAACTTTGATCACATCCAGTTAGCACCATTTCTATTCCCATATCTTTCTGTATTTCAGGCAATTAACTTGGGGTATTCTCCTGCAAATATTTGTGAATGTAATTAAAGGAAAAATAGTATTCTTGTTAATTTGCAAATTATTCTTTTTCCAGTTTGCTATTCAAAATAGATTTAAACATCGCAGCAAAGTATTTCCCAAGAGAGAGCACTGGTTGGACTGGGCTACCGAGAAGTATGATGTAAGTTGTACTATTTGCCTATATTGAATTTTATAACTACTGTAATTATAACAGGTTTGCCTTTGTTTTTACATTTTGGATTGACCTGGTTTCATTAAGTGCTTGTTATCTTAAGTGCCATTGCTAAACGTCTAATTTTATGACCCCTATGGCTGCCTTAAACATTTGCATGCAACTTCAAAAAGATAAATGACAGCACTTATACCTGGATAGCAATGGCCATGAAACTCCCAAACTTCAGAAATTTGAACAAATTTAACTAAGTTCAGAATAACGGCTAGAGAACCCTGTGGAACATTGTCATTAGGGACATTAGATTTAATCTAGATCTTACTTTGAAAGCATGCATAGCATAAAAATAATAAACAAACAAATGAGCAACAGTTTAATATTTCTTCAATAAGTCAATAGGCTGACTAGGCTGATTAATAAAAGCAATTCACACAGTTGTGGATATCTACCCCATTTACCTGACCAAAAATGTGGGTCTGATCAGTTTAACTTTTGGACCTATCTTGTTTTTTTTTTGAAAGCTGCAATAAAGCCAGCATTCTGTTCTTTATGGAGACCATGCATTCACATTTTTTAATATCTGGCCATGTACTACTCATTCTCAGTTACACAATTTTGAGATGTAAAAATAATTACTGCATTGCTTCATCAATTATATAATTCTGACTCACCTGGGTTTCAATTACAAGGAGGCATAAAAATATAACCTAATCCAATTTTGGCTATATTCACACAATACGGTTGCTGAATTTACAGTGAACCTAAATTAACCAAATGGGGTGGACTTACAAACATGCTAAACCAAGTTGAGTTAACCAAACATAATATTTATGATCTTGTGCAAATAAACACTTAACTGAGACAGTTACTCTGTTGTTGAAGTGACCAGTAAGGTATCTTATGTGATTTATTAATACCCTCTCAGTCAACACTGATACTGAGAGAAACTGTTTTTGATCGTTGAGATATCTATCCATCAGGACCAGAACACTTTATCTTCCATGAATTATCTATTTCCTTTTTACAGCAATCCAAGCTGATGACAATATCCACTAAGTAGAAAATATTTCCTTTTCTGAAGCACCAGAGTTCTTCTAAAAGATTCTAATACATTGAGAAATACCTATTTTTACCATCAATAACTATAAATTTCTACCATACTTCCACTACTTACCTGATGTTTTCCTTTATTAATTAGCTCCAAATGTTGTATTTTTTTCCATGGGGAAACTGCTTCCTTTGTTGAACTCCCCTACACCTTTTCCAACTATTTGAGGATTATCTGCAGATGCACCACAGAATTGGATAAAAGCATTCTTCAATGTGTTTCCTCATTTTTCAGAATAATTTGTTTTTTTTCACAGTTGACATTTCCATCATTTCACCATAACATCAAGAACCCATGATGGTATACCATGGTTGATGGAATACCCTGGTTTCCTTGACTAATTTTAACCTTCTGCTGGTCTTTGCTCTGTATTCTAAATAGTTCTGCTTATAGCCAGTACAGGTAGTCCTTGGATAATGATGGTATTTTGGGACTGGAATTTCCATCGCTAAGCGATACAGTTGTAAAGTGTGATGTCACATGACTGCATTGCTTAGTGATGGCAATCCCAGCAGTCCCCATTGCTATGGTTAACTGAATCCCACCTGGGAAGGACCCATCCCGATCCAAGCCATTCATGGCTTGGTCTCTCCCAGCCCTGAGCCTTGGTAAGACTACCTCCTCTTGAATCCCCCCCCACTTATCTCCCCCCATCTCTGCACTTTTGGCTGCCCTGCACTCTGCCAACCCTACCACCCCCAACTGACCTTCACTGTCTTCTTCCTCCCACTGCTGACAAGGCGCACCTGGCCTAGCCCTATGTGAGGCAGCCGCTGGCCATGTGAGGCCTTCTTCCCAAAGTCACATATGTCCTACTCCAAGTCATGTGCAGTCTTCTCCAAATCACGCGTGGCCTTCTTGCGAGGCTTTGGAGGCCTTGCAAAGCCTTGCGAGAAGGGCATACGCAACTTGGAGAAGGGCATGCACGGCCTCAGGAAGAAGACCTTGCATGGCCAGCAGCTGCCTTGCAAAGGCCAAGGCTGGGTGTGCCTCATCAACAGCGGGAAGAAGAAGAAAGTGAGTCAACTGAGGGCAGCAGAGGTGGCAGAGTGCAGGGCAGCCAAAAGGGCAGAGATGCGGGGGAGATAGGTGGGTGGGGGGAGTCATAATGAGGGCAGGCTGCCAAGTGCCCAAATTTTAATCACATAACGGTGGGGGCACTACAACAGCCATAACTTCGGGGATTAGGTGTAAGTACCATTTGTTCAGCTCTGCTGTAACTTCGAACAGTGGCTGAATGAATGGTCATTAACCGAGGACCACCTGCAATGTAGTTTTCATTTTGAGGGGTGGGTGGAACATACCACTTCTGTGATATGCCTATGAATAAAGCCCTCTTCCATATCTACTGCTATTCCTTCTCATACTTTCCTTATCTCCTGGTACCTCTCAGTAGATTAGGTGCATTGTTGCTGCTTATTTCAATCTATATATGGAGAATGGTCTCATTTTGCAGAATTTAAACATTTAATATTTGACACATAAACAAATGCCTATGAATAAGGAATAACTATTTAACATTTCTTCTTTTGTTCTTTTGTTATAGAAACGGCTTATTACAGAGGTTAAGATGGTCTTGAAGGTTTTGTTCCTGTACATTCCTCTTCCCATGTTTTGGGCCCTTTTTGATCAGCAGGTAATTTGAGAGAAGGAATCATTATTCCTTTGGGTGTTCATATGGTCATGCATTGCTTTTGCCAGAAATATACGTAGGTCAGGATTTAGTATTGGACATAGACTTTAAAAAACTCTATACGAACATTTTTATTACAGTGGAACAAAATATATAACATATATTCCAGTGGACCACCAATGTGATTGTATATTAGAGATGGTGTACCTTATTCTTCAGTTAAACCTTTTTACAGTCTTAATACAAATTACATCCATCTTCCCATGCTTCCCATCATTCTACAGTATTTCCTTTTGAGAGAAATACCTTATACAAAGCACAGAAAAAGGGTATAAGGTAATGAACGAAAGCCAAATTAGGGGCAAGATAGAAGACAAAATCTAATTAAATCTAGTTTACACAGACCATTCACTATGCTTCTCTGTACCCTTGCAAACCATTGTCACTTCCACCGTGACCATGTCTTACTGCTTCATACATTACCTTTTGTTCTTTAAAATTCTCACCTCTCTCTTTTTGAGGATATCAGCAACTCTACCCAACCATGACCTTCTTAGTTTCCTCTTCCTCTTGACCCACTCACTCTTCCTCCATATATTTGTTTTATAATTCAATCACCATTCATTCTCTCTATATGTTCAAACCATGTCAATGTATTCATTTCATTTTATTTTGGTCACTCACTTTAATATTCAATCCATATTTCATTCATCTCCCTTTCATTCTGGATCCTATAGTTTCTTGTTTTATCAAAAAAGCTTCTTAAGTGGCATTCAATTTACTTTATATTTTCCGGACATATCCAACTATCACTTCTAGACAACAATGTGGGATCTTCATCTCTTTTTCATCTACCACTGACTTGTATAACAGTAATGTAAATATTGTTGATATACTGCAGACACTTACTGTATTTCTACTATTCTGAGAATATTTAATATTTAACTAGGGTTATTTGCTTACAAACTTGTAATTTTTTGTTCTGAAGGGATCTCGATGGACATTGCAGGCCACAACAATGGATGGAAATTTTGTGAGTTATTTCTTACTCATGAACCTTGATCATGTTCTAATTGAGTCTTTAATATGTATTTTTACCTAAAATAGCTATCCATAGTTCCTCATCCAGCAAGTGATAAACATTCCATTGATGTATATCCATGTATATTTCCCTTGCTGGAGTGAGGAAATGGTATTTAAATTAAATTAAATTATATTAATTAAATTACATTCTTATGAGTTTTTAAAAGTGAAATGCATCAATTTCTTTTTTCTCTCTTTTAGGGTGGTATTTCGATTCAGCCAGACCAGATGCAGGTACAGTAAGCAGGAATTTTTTTCCTTTTTTGGGTTTTCAGCTATTTCCAAAAATCATTTTTAGGTTTTTCTCAACATTGTTAATTTTCTTATTTTTTCTTCCACAACAGACTGTAAACCCAATTCTCATTGTTATCATGGTCCCAATTGTAGATGCTGTGGTTTACCCTCTAATTAAGAAATGTCACATAAATTTCACGTAAGTAAATATAGATTTTTAAAAATTATAAGTAGAAATTTGCATCAAATTCTATTGCATGAAATTCAATGGTGTCTTTAAGAGATGGTAACATGAATGACCTGGGTTAGTTAAATATTATTTTGATTTACAAATCAAACTATAAAGGAGCCATACCAAGTAAAATACTTTTATAGAAAAAATAGTATCTCTGTTCTTCTCTGAAGCCTAACCTCCATTTATGGAACCAGAGTTGTTGTTACAAACCAGGAGGAGAAATAGCGTAAAACCTTTTTGGCAGACCTCTTCTTCCAAGGGTTCCTTGGTAAAATATAATTATGATATGCTGCAAAGAGGTAGACCAAACCTCCTTATATTCCATAATCTGTCCATGTGAAGAATTAGAAACCTGCTCCAAGTCTTTGGGTATTGTAAGAATGATATAATTACAAGAAAAGCATTTTCCTCTAGACTAGCAGGTGCTTATTTTTACTATATGGGAAGTAGAGATCTACTACCTAAGGCGTAATAGGGTATTGTAGCCCCAGTCCTAGATAAAAGTTGCTTCTGTATTGTCATGTTTATATTTTTTTCTAATTTATTGTCCTGGCTCAGCCTATCATTTGGACCCCCAACATGCCACTCAAAAGCCAACTGCAGTACTTGGTTTGAAAAATGTTGTAAAATGACTATCTTAATAATTTTCAAAGATATAACTCCATGAATAGGTATTATAACAGCTGAACATTTTAGGTTAAATATGTGTTCCTCAACATTGCAACATATTGTACTGGCAGGTTTGAAGGGATTGCACAAAGAACTAACAATATTGGAATAGGTTTTTAGGGAGATAAGTAAGATATATGCATCACTACTTCTAGTGACACTAGACATATCGGGGTTCTTTGTTGTTGTTTATTATTGTTTTCTATCTATTTTAATATTCTAATAAATTGTCTGTTGCCTAGAGTCCCTTGGATGATTGAGTTTATAAATGGAACAAATCAATAAATAATACTTTTTATCATTATTAGAAGGAGAAGAGGACTGTATTAAAAATAAAGACATGCTTAGATTTTTGTTGCTGTCAGCAAGAATATAGCCCATAAATGGAAGGAGAGCAGAATGTCAACTTTAGATTTTGTACTCAAAACTATTAGAAATCATTTAATGGAAAAAAACTTATCGACAGAGTACATAAAATGCAAGATATTAGTTATATATATTAGGTATATATTCCCTCTGGAATGAGGTTCCTCCCAAGATTTAGGTGGCCCCCACTCTGCTGTTGTCTGGAAGACTGCTAAAGACCTGGCTCTTCACCCAGGACTTTGGTGAGGGAGCGTGAGACCCTTTGCTTAATTCCATCTGGTCTGTCATGCTTGCCATCTTTTATCTATCGTTGATTTTATTGTAATTTATTTGATTGTTGTGAGCCGCCCAGAGTCATAAGATGGTGTACAAGTTTAATAAATTATTATCCTCCAGTGAGGCATTACCTTGACGTGGTTGTGGGGCTTGTGTGCTCTGTGGAGGATGAGATGATGATGATGATGATGATTTCTTTTTAAAACTCATTTGGAAAGGTTTTCTTTGGTTCACTAAAAGCTCAGAAGCAATTAGGAGATGTTTGTCCTCAACAGTGATGTGAAGTTGAATGAAAGGGAGAATTTAAAGATGTTGTGAACTAGTTATGTATTATGACATTTTTAAAAATTTAATTATTTGAAGCCCTAATTATTTTTATTTTAATTTGTTAATTGACAATAATGTTGTTTTAATGCTTTTAATATTTAATTTAAAGTGTTCCTCAATAGCTCCTTGTTTCTTCGTTCTACTCCAGGCCTCTAAGAAAGATGACGGTTGGCATGTTACTTGCAGCCTTGGCTTTTGTTGTTGCTGCACTGGTACAAGTGCAAATTGATGTAAGTAAACATAGAGCTAAATTCTGCTTAGGGGGTATTTTGCATTATAGTACTTAAACTTTTAAAGTGGTGGACATTGTCTACTCATGGATCGCTCATGTGATTTAGAATCCTGATTTCGCATTTATGGGAGGGAGAACTACTGCATATAGGTAGTCCTTGGTTAATGACTGCCCTGTTTAGCAACTGTTTGAAGTTACAACGGTGCTGAAAAAGTAACTTTATGAGCGGTCCTAGAACTTATGACCATCACAGCATCCCCATGGTCATGTGATCATGATTTGGGTGCTTTGCGACCGGCATGCATTTACAACCATTGCAGTGTCCTGTGGTCACACGATCACCATTTGCAAGCTTCACAGCCAGCTTCCCACAAGTAAAGTCAATGGAAAAGCCAGCAGTAAAATCGCAAGACATGGTCATGTGATGTCTCACTTAACAACCATGTCACTTAGCGATGGAGTTGCTGGTCCCAATTGTGGTTAAGTGAGGACTACCTGTATATCTTTCTCATACAGGGGGATGGGTATCATTTAAAAATAACTGAGCAACCAAATGGCTTAGATAAAAGGATCTTGGCTCAATATCTCTTAGATTAGGGTTTTTCAAACTGGGTTCCTTGAAGAGTTTTTTTCCCCCTTGGTCCATTACAGAGAGGGTTGTTTTTTTTTTTTAACTCTCTGCAAGGGACCAAAAAGCTTGGTCCCTTGGGGAGAGATTCCCCCCCCCCTTAGTCACTATGGTATAGCAGAAAGGACAGACTTACAGCTGACATTCAAAAGCCCCACCCAACTTGATAAGGGGTTCTTTTTTTTTTTTAACCAACAGGTTTCATGGCCTGAAAAAGTTTGAAAACCTCTGTCTTAGATTAGGTCTAGGTCTTTCACAAAGATTTCTTTGTGAAAAGTGGAAAGAGACTGCAGAGACAAAGAATTGATCTGATTCTTAAGAAACAGGAGAAGTTAGTTCTTTCCCATCATTTGGACAGTCTAGCTATGTTTAACATATAGAGGTAAGGCAAGATTTGTTTTAATGATCATTTTTTTAACAATTCAGATTTGCAAATGAGCAGCATAATGTTGGCTGGTGTGTTCTCTCCCTTGTCTAACAGAATTACATCCAGAAGATTTTTCTCAGTCTTTTATCTCCTCAAACTAGTGGTCCCCCACAGGATGCTGGGGCCCCCCTTAGCTGCCGGGTTCCACCCCCTTTTAGACCCTGAATTTCATGGGTAGTTTCCTTCAGAGTGGCAGCATGTGCTGCGAATAAGTACAATTTTCTTGCAGACAATACATTTTAAAGTAAAAGTTAAAAAAGAATGAGCAGCAACAGCCCCACTGGATACTGTTTTGTCCTGTTCTTGTCCATTGCAGCATCAATGAGAGGTGATTTCAGGGACTCCTGTGTAGTTCATTTTATTTATTTTATTTATTTAGTGGACTTGTCCCCGCCCATCTCCCCACAATGGGGGACTCTGGGTGTTTTACATCAAATTAAAACCATAAATACGTCATTAAAAGTTATAAAAAGAGAACCATTTGTTGCTACCTGGATGTTACCTGGTCTATGAATTTTGACCCTGAAGCCCAGCCCTAGTTGTAGCTCAGAGATGAAAGACATTTTGCAGTGAAACTGCTTGAGGGTGGGTGGCTGGGTGGGTGGCTGGGGAAATAATGTAATAGCAATGAAAACTGCCATTAGTAATGCAGAGCCACATTTTTTGTATGTGAATAAATGCTATTATTTCTCAAGTTACTTTCAAGGTGGAGTTTGGCATAATAACATTTTCTGTTCATTATCATCTACACAGAAAACTCTTCCAGTCTTTCCTTCAGAAGGCCAGTTTCAAGTCCAAATAGTAAACCTGGGAAATGATACTGCAAAAATTGCTACTGCTGGGCAAGATATTACCTTGAGTCCGTTTAATGCGGTACGTTTGAGGATTTTTTTAAAAGTTTCATTCCAATTTCAAAATTGATGGATTTTTAGTGGGATAAAATTTCTCAGCATTAATTAGAAATGAGTGAATTTACTATTATTTGAACACTTTGGTCTTGGAATATGTACCTTCTCATGCATATACCATGATTCCCTATATTACATACCATCTCATAATTAAAAAAAAAGATTTTCTATTTTAATACTAATAATCTCTACATTTCTGAAATTACACGATCATTCCCTTTGGGATGTATCTACCACACCTAACTTGCCTGTTTTTAAATTGGTACTTGGGATGAAGATTAGTATCTTTTGGTGCCTATAACCTTGTCAGCAACGCAGCTTCCCATTGCTACTGAATCAGTATTTCTAAGTATTGTATCGCTTTGCACATCTTTCCCTTCCTTCTCCATATGTAGAAAAAAATTGGGGATTAGTAAATTCTAGAAGAACACCACTCTGTCTCTTAAATGACAAGTCCTAATTTGACTGCAGAAGCAATCCTTTACTTTGGAAAAGAACTTAGAATAGCTATTTACTGTTGAGTATGAGTCTTCTGCTTTCAAACTTTCATACATCTGGAGAAGAAAGTACACTTGGATTTAGCAGATAATTTCATATAAATAATTAATCACATCATTTTGTTCCGATGCTAATGCAATATTGTATTGAGAAAGAAAAATATATTTTGATTCCTTAGTGCTTTTTTAATGTTAGGGAGTCTGAGGTTGAACTATAGAAGCAGAAATAACACAGTGAATTCCATTCAAGCTCCACTTTAAATGCTCACTAAAAACCACTAACCCTTTGCTGACTTTCTAATATTTTTAAATACAACCAACCCTCTGAAAGCTGTATTGTTAATTAGTACACACTTGGGTTTGATTCCAAAATGGTGCTTTGGAGCACACAAGGCGAGGGTGCTAATGTAACATCTGATTGCAACTTTTTAAAGCAGAAACATACTTTTGCAAGATCAACAACCTGATGCAGAGGTAGCTAAAACATTTTTCCTAATTATTTTCAGAAGCTCTGCACAACCCTAATGTACACTTATCTAGCCACAAGCCTCAATTGGCATACTTCTGACAAAACTTGTATAGATTTGTGAATGAATTTTTTCTAACCCAAATTTCCTCATTCACTATCATCCACTTCTAGTTCCTTAGTCTAGGCACCCTTTTGTTTTGTTTTTTGTTTTTCTGAGATATCCTCCATAGTTGGGTGAGCCCCATTTGGACCCATATTAGGAAAGCAAGCACAGAATTTCATTGCTTGCGAGCACCGCACATCACAGAAGAAAAAAGAAACCAGTTATTCAAAAATCATGTTTCATGTGTACAACTGAAATGGTTGGGATGTACAATATTAGAAGCAAAATAATTACAAAGTCTGATCATATTTCAGCAATTCTGATTGATCAAATGCGGGGCATTTTTTTGCCTAGGTATCAAAACCATAAAATAGGAAACATAATTAATTAGCATATATGCAAATTATTTAGTTACATGAAAGGAATGCCAACCATTTTATTGTTCTTTCTTTTTATTTACAGACAGAATATATCACGTATGACGTAAAAGAGTTAAATGTTACTGTATCATATGTAAGTGGAACTCTAACAGAAACAATAATTAATTCGGGACAACAACGTCACACTCTTGCAATAAAAAATACACCAAGTACTACAGCAATACCGGTAAATTTATTTAAAGATTCCTGGTTCTGTTTAGATAATGTATTGTATATCAAAAAGATAGTGCTAGGTGAATGAGTTATAGACTGTATAAATCAGCTACAACAGCAGATGCTGTTCGTAAGTATACCCAGAGTTTTGGCATAGGGATAGTATATAAATAATTATAATAATTAAATAAAGAAAAAAAATCTCCAGCCAGATGAATTAAACAACAAAAACAGCAGAATAAGTCTCATAAGGGATCACAAAGAAACATTTAAATTAAGGTTGCATGTGTCTAAATGATGGCTTAATTCTTCTGCCTTCTCATTTGTGGAAAATATTTGTATATAGCCTGTAATACACAGAAACATAAAGACTGTATCCATATAAAGAGCCCAACTGCCAGTGTTGTTATATGGAAATTAGGAGAAACATACAAATATGTTGAATGCAGTTGGATGGGATATTTAAAAAGTAGTAAAACAGGAAGATATAAGGTCAAAAATGAATGAATGAATGAATGAATGAATGTAGATAAAATACAAAAATGAGTGATCAGCACAAAAGAAATACATTGAGGTGATTTGGCTCCATAGAGAGAATGAATGAGGATTGAATCACAACACAAATATATGAAGGAAGAGTGATTGGACCAAGAAGAAAGAAAATATCAATAAGGTTGTGGCTGAGGAAATTAATGAGAACCACAGAAAGAGAAGAGAGCACACAGATTGACAATAACCCAAAACCATCATTTGATAAACGGTTAAATGAAGTATTATATATAATAATTATGGAAAAATTAAAACATCTAAAATGTATTAAAGGATACATGGCCCATTTTTTATTATTAGTAGAAATAATTTTATTAGTAAAGATAATAAGGTTAAAAGATTCCTCAGGACTAAGGTTAAAAGATTCCTCAGGACTATAGAATACTCCAATCAAATATTTAACTTAATGTTATATATTATTATGATGTTTGTTGATTTTTCTCTTTTTATGAATTGGTTGGGTTTTTTAAATATATAAATATATTTGAATGTGGTGAAAATCAAATAAATGTGAAAGAGAGACATATGTGATGTTTAAAGAACAGAAGGAAGCATAAAAAAGGTGGGATCAAAATATATTAATAATAATAGTAATAGTAATATGAGGTGGAATGCAGACAAAGTGGTGGCAAGGATAGTTTGCAGGAGTAGAAAAGTATGGATATGAATGGTATCAGCACAGACTAGATTTAATTAGATCTCCTTTCTTTTTATCTCCTGCTTACATGAATGGTATATGTTTATGTATGTATGCATTTTAAAGCCTAGAGCCAGTACACCTGTGTTTCTTATTATTCCTATAATCTCATGACATTGTCCATTGTGAAAGTTAATCAGGCTCTTTTCTAAATCAGGGTTGAAACTGGCTTGAAATCCTGATTAACAGGATTTGTAGTTAAAATGAATGTTAATATATCCATTAATATAGTTAAGATTGGTTGATGTACCCATGAAGTGCACTTCAGAAAGGAGTACAAAACTGCATAAGTATTGAGCAATTGAAAACACTGTGTGTGCATGTTTAATTTAGTCATTATTTGTAGACGGCATTCAATTAATTATTAATGGTACTATAAGCATGTCTGTGAACAAAAATCATGAAATCTGCCTGTGATGTAAACAAATATACTGTTCCATGTGGTAGTATAGATTTTATTACTGTTACTTAAGCTATTTCTCCTCTCAGTCTGTAGATGGCATTACAGAAAAACCAGAACAAGGAAATAATATGATCAGGTAATAAAAATTATTTGTATGGACTTATATTTTATTGTGTTTTATGTTTAATTTGATTAAGATATCTATTAAGATAAGAGTCTGGAACTAAATATCGTGGCAGTGGTTAGTTGCTTTGACATTGAAGACAGTCCTGCAAGGTTCCACTATCTAGGTGTAATGATACCGAATACATGACAAACCACAAGTTTGTCTCCAGATTGCCCTCTCTTACACAGAAACCCCCACCAGACTCCACTGTAACAGCCTGCCAGTTTCAAAGACAAGACAAGTTGAGACATCATGTAATGTATGTAGAGCGTCTCTAGATTGCACATGGGAGAGAATGGAAGGAGAGGTGTACTTTTTAAGGAAGTTTTTTAGATTCAATCTAAATTAAAACACCTTTAGCTGCATAACTAAATTTTGTATCAAAGAATTTCTGGAGCAAGAAAGCTTTGGATATAGTATAACTGGACACTTGCAAATCTCTGTTAACAATATTTAACAGTGAAACACAATGCAATATAAGGAAATACCAATTAATGATAATACATTGCTAAAGCACTTCTGTTTTTTTAAAATGCAACATTTTAATATTTTTTAAAGATTCATAAACAGTTTGGATTCAGTTGTTAATATCACTATGGGTGATGTGGCCTTTGGAGAGGTGATGAATTTCTCAAACTACATTGCTTTTCAAAGTGGGTCGTAAGTATCACTGTTCTTTAACATTATGGTAGAGCAGCATTCCTCCAGTTGGTGCTGTTAGATGTGTTGGGACTTCAGTTCTCAAAATTCAAAAGTGACAGTTGCAGTTGCAATATTTCTGGAGGATATCAGAAAGGGAATGTATGCTAGTAATATGGAACTGATATGAAGTGAAGCTTAGTCCATAAAAAAATTAGGCACAATTAATGAGTACATGTCACAGCATACACTAGTAGGTTTACCTGTAATAAAGTTGGGTCTAAGCTGTGATCCATTGGTTGACTAACAACTGGTGTTGAAGAGTTCATGTCTCATTTTTCTTATCTAAACCGGCTTCTAAAATTGCTGTTAGCCTTTAGGAGTGAAGATGACATCTCAGTGGTCTAATCTTTGATTCAGATAACCATGAAAGTCTAGGCATTCTGGGTTAATACAGTGGCAATTCCCCCAAGTCATGGTGGCTTCCATTTTTCCCAACTTGGCCTGAAATGATTCAGTGTCCATCACACGTGAGTTGGTAAAACTGCCGTGACTGTCAGAGCTGGCAGCAAAATGGCTTAAAAAACAGGAAAAAACATATATGAGAAGAATAAATAATGAAACTAATGGACCTTTGAGAAACAAATACCAGAACAGTCAAAACTGGGAAAGGAAAAGAAAAAAAAGTGGGGATGGAGGGAGGCCACAAGTCCTTTTAAATTTTCTCACCTATGCCCGTTATTCTGACATCATTGGTGAAAGGAGATGGTGGTGAATGTTGAATATTAGCAAAAGATTTTTGCTAATTGTTGAATTTAAATTCAACATTAATTGTTGAATTTAAAAAGCCAGCAAACACATGTGGACTTGTAAAACAATAAAATAATTTAAATCAATGGTTTTTCATAAGCACAGATAACATTTGAGTTGAAATAAAAAGAAGCTACTGTGGTTGATTTTGAGAGGAAAATATTTCATAGAAAGAGATGAGCAAAACGAGTGATGTCTGTTATTTCCTTAATGGAAGATTTGAAAAGAACCTTAGACACAGGCTTACCAAACTTTTCCTTTGGTAAAATACTGAAAGTAGCAGCTGAGTTACAGAGAGGGACAGGAAAAGTTCTTAAGTGTTCACTGGATCCTGGTTTGTAGGCTATTGTTGCCTGCTTTGGGGTTACCACTTTGTGGCAGTAGACTTGCTTGCTTCTTGCCTGTTCAACCAGCCTATTTTGTAAAATGCATGTTCTTTCTGTGATTCTGTAAAACAGCTTGGCAAGTTTCTGTTCCTAATGAGACACTTGCAAGAATGTTGTGCTGCTTGATTACAAGTAGCAGGAACACATAATGATGTGTTGGGAATTGTCACAAACTATCTTAAAAAGTGCCTGCTACGCCTATTTTAAGATCAGTAATTAAAGTTTGCAAACCTATCTTGGGGTGATGCTCATAACATGAATAGGCTTTATTTATGCTATTACATTTGTTTTTGGTATTCTTTCCAAAATTTTGGTATTCTTTTCCAAAAGAAAATTCAGCTTTTCTTCTGTAAATTACATTATAATTACCTATTTTTTCCTATTTCTTTTTCTAGAGTCAATATTACTGCTCAAATTGATAATGCGGTGTGTGAAGTTTCATCCATAGCATTTGGTTATGGCAGTGCTTATAGTATTATTATAAAAGGGGTAAGTTCTAAATTGTGTGTCTAAATTAACAAAATATTTAATACAGAGCCAAAGATATAAACACCTATAATAGGGTCTTGGTTGAATATTTAGCATTGTCACATTCTTATCTTAATGCTTCTTACACTGTCACAGGTGTCAGATGTCATAATAATAAAATAAGAAAGCAAAGAACTAGAGTTGTATTGTTGTTTACAAGCAGATGTATGTTCGTGACAGTTTTGTTGGTGATGGTGGTAATCAAAAATACAGGCAATGCAAATAAGGAATGGGCTTTTATAAAGTAATACAAAAGCTTTTGGTTTCACCTTTACAGTTTTAAGAGACTTCAAAACTTAAGTCTTTAATAAACTCTGTTCACAGACCATAATTTCAAATTTGAAACTCCAAGTTTTACATTATGAAGTAGTAAATAACAGCTTTTAAAGCTAAACATACCCATTTGTGTTTAGTGTAATGCCCATTATTAGCTAATGTTTTGTGAAGAGATATCTGCTTATAAATAACTGCTTTGATTGCATTTGTGTATGTTTTGATATAATGTGGCTGTTGGAAAAGCCACAAGAAAAGATGAAAAAATAATTTTTGTTTGAATTTATTGTAGTCATGAAATTCTACCCTAGATCCACAGAGTTGGGTATATGTTGCTGTGCAGATATGTTTGTATGGGAGCTGATTTTCCTGTTAAACTTCGATATAGAAGACATCTCCCAGCAGGCTCTCCTACTGCATATGGAGTAGTTTGTTCTATGGCAATGAATGGAGAGTGCTTTTGAGCAGAAATCTCATGTGTGTGTATATGTATGTGTACACATGCATACTCAAAAGAGGTATTATATCAATCAGGGATATCCTCAGAGGGTCAAAACAGTCAAGATGGTGGCCCTAACAATGTGAACAAAACCCTGCCTCTTTTTAATAGTGGTTCTGGCCACCATCTTGATTTCTCGCTCCCTGATGATTCCCCTGATAACAATCAGAAATCTCTGCACAGGTTCATATGAGAATATGTTGCTATAATTCTTGGATGTGTTTGTTATTTTTTTTTCCAGTTTGTACACTGTGCCCAGGTACCATCTTGGTTTTGGATAGTATTGGTTTTTATGTTGTTATTTGTGAACCGCCCAGAGTCAGCTGGAGTTGGGTGGTGTCCAAAGTGAATTAATTAATTAATTTGAAGAACTTCAAAAAAATTATTATAGAAAACAAACTACCCATCTTTTGTGATTATTTATGTCTTATATATCTTGAATGCCATGGAGAATATTGAGAGATTATTGTATTTACTTGGGAGGGCAAGAGATTCCCCCTCCATGCTATAACTTTAAAATGGGGAGGTCTGCTTAGATTGAGTGAGAATATGATTATGGAGCTAGATGAAGTTTTTCTATCTTACTCTTCTTTTATGGGGGTCGGGGGGAAAGGAGTTGTCTTCAGTTCAAGATTGTCTCCCTTTCAGATAAATATGGTATAACAATAAAAGATATATTTTGGTAACTTTCCCCCTTTTTTTCAGGAAAAGGCACTTTAATAATATATGCATTAATATATTTTGCTTTTCTTTCAGTGTACTGGTGATAAACTAGACATCAAATACATTGAAGATATTCAAGCCAGTACAGTCAGTATGGCATGGCAAATCCCCCAGTATTTCATTATTACTTGTGCTGAAGTTGTCTTCTCAGTGACTGGACTTGAATTTTCATACTCACAGGTAACTCAATTGACTTTACAACAATTTTTGCTGCTGTGTGGAATGTTGTGCTGTTGACCACAGAAGACACCTTTTTCAGAAAAGGCTGAATGTAGGATTTGGAAGTGCTGTTGGGTCATCAGTATCAGAAAAATTGTAAACCCTTGGACCCAGCACAGTCACAACAACTCATTTCAAAGTGGTTCTTCAGAACAGGCTTCCTTGAGATGGTCGAGTTTTGTTCAAAACAAGGTTCTCAGGACCATCTTGATGCTGAAGCATTTTGCACATCCCTAAAACTAAACATCCCATACTGTATTTTGAAATAAGGTGCAAAACTATTGAATTGGATATCTTGTTTCTGTAGGCACCTACCAACATGAAATCTGTGCTGCAAGCTGGCTGGCTATTGACGGTGGCCTTTGGCAATATCATTGTTCTTATTATAGCTGGTGCTTCAAAACTCAGTGAACAGGTAAAAAATTATTAAACAAAACAAAGCTTTGATAACAATGTCAATGTTCAATAGTCATAGGTAAGAGTCATAGGAAGAGTCACAAAACAGCTGTACTATTATACTAGAGCCATAGCTATATTAAGATGCTGAATATATAAATATGGCAATATGATAAAAACTGGGCATTTCATCCATATGCCAGCTTTCTGTAACATAGTACATTCCAGTAATTACTAGAAGGAAATCTTCCTGTTACATTACTTTTAAATATATGAGCCTTTCTTTGGTTCCATTAAGGCAATGGAGGAATAATGTGTAAACCAGGGGATGGGCAGACTCAGTCTGCATTATTTTGGGAAAAGACTTGTTGGGGACTGAATAACTGTGTTGAGAAATGGGTGGGACTGGGACTCCCAAACTTATTCTCATACAGATTTCTGCATCCTATGCATACTCTGGCAACCATGGATTAAATACCTACTCGCGCCATACTTTTTATTCCATCTCTCTCTCTCTCTCTTTCTCCATTCTGTTCTCTTCTTCCCTTTTCTACCAGCTGTTGACTGCTTATTCTCTTTACTTCTTCTACTCCATTGACCATTCAGGACTTTATTCTCTAAACTTTATTGCCTTATGAACAGATGAGTGTTTCAGTGAAGTGAAAATTAAACCCACCCACCCACCCACCCATCCATCCATCCATCCATCCATCCATCCATCCATCCATCCATCCACCCACTCACCCACCCACCCACCCATCCTACCTAAATGGCTCAAAGGTTTCTGTAGGCTTTGTACAGTATAGCATAATACAAAACAATATGTTAGAGGACAGATGGACATAGCAGCTCAGTTGGTTACTAAGTCAACAAAATGGCTAGCAAGAGTTAAATCCCAGTTTCAAGAAGAAAAGTATCTGTCCTGTCCATTGAAAAGAGATTATTGTGTAGCCTTTATTCATCTCCTATTTGAGCAAATGCATACAATGATGCAGCAAAGCAGATTCCTAGGTAGCTCAGTGGAAGATAGATTCTATGTGTGGGGGACTGGTGAAATAGAGGATCTGTCACATTATATATTGGAATGCTGGTTGTATGTTAAATATAGGGATCATTATTTATCCCTATTCCTTGATGACAAGAGGAATTGGAATGCCAAAAATAAATTGGATTTCCTCCTCCTTCTACAAATACTAATTAGTGTGTGACACAACGAGTTGCTATCTTTGCAGTTAAGGCAGCCAGGCTAAGAGAGGAAAGGGATAGTACATTCTACCTGACATGGCAAATTATGTAATACCTATATTTCGTAGGAGTCTGACAAGGTGCATTAAAGTCCCTGCTCCGTTTCATTAACTATTTTAAAGTATTATCTTATAAAGGTTAAAAGATTTTAATATGATTATTGTTTAGATTTTAGATTTAAATTTTAATGTCTATAATTTGTTAGTTTTAGTGTCTTGTTTTAAGATATGTAGGTAATGTTGTTACCCACTGTATACTTGAAATGGTCTGGAAACTTATTCAATAAACTACTTACTTACTTACTTACCAATAGAATGAAATATACTGTATAAAATCAATAAAATAAAACCCACAAATAGCATTAGGAACAAAAATAATAGATCTTAAATCCTGGGAGCGGGGGAAAGAAATGTTTTCATCTGGGGCTAAAAAGGCAGCCATATTGATGGCGGTTGGACTTCCCTGGGATAGGTACTTCAAAATCCCTATCAAGAAAGACTTTGTTGCTGTTGCCACATGTGAGATTCAGAAGAAAGAGATACTTCTTTAAAAAATAGTAAACTATGAGTAAGGTGTGAGAGGTATTCTCTTAGGATATGAGGATCCCACCTATGCTGAACTTTATTGGTCAAACCCATTGATCTGGACTGGCCCTTAAAACAAATAAGAAATCAGTGTAGACCAACATATTATGAACGTAACCCCCTGTGTGAGTTTTTTTTTTTTTAATATTTTAGATGTGTTTTGCAGTAGCTTAAATTTCTAGACTATTTTAAAGAGAATCTCATATACAATGAAGAACTGTAATTGAAATGAGAGGTTATCAGAGCATGGATCACTGCAGGTTGGCTGTCTGCTTCCAGATAGCGTCACTGAATGAAGCTGGCAAGTGATGCTCTTTTCATGGCAAAATATCCTATTTGCAAGAATGGACTTTTCCTTCTGACTAAGCCTAATTGCTCTACCACCGGGGAAAGCTATAGGCTATATCATATCTCTAGGCAAGCAGTTCCTCTCTTTATGAAAAGACTACTGGTACAATCATAGGCATGTCTACTGAAAATCCCATCAAGATACCTCTTCCCAGGGAACTAATGTTGAACCCTTTTCCAAATTATGCTTTTCCCTTTTCTATTACCCAGTAAATGTTAATCCCTTTAAAAATGT